GCACTTCCTAGATCCTAGGACAGGTTTAGCAAGAGTTACAGAGTCATGCCACAGTCTGCTTCATGAGCCTTCCTTCATTCCTGACTGGAAAGAAAAGCTCGACAGGTCTCCAGGGAAAAGAATTCCGAGCCCGAAACCCGTCTGGTCACTGGCTGGTGCCGGTACGGATTTAGGGTGGGAACCTGCAAGCAGTTTCCAGGCCCGATAGGGCGGAGCTGGGCCAGGGCGCTGCTGGCGGGGTCCCGCCGGGGCTGCCCGGCCGGGGCACGGCGGGAGGCCCTCGGGGCCCGGCCCGGCCGGAGCCGCGCTGGGGTGCGGCACTGCGGGGCCGGCCCTACAGGGAACCGGCCGGGTCGCCGTTCGCACCGAGCTGCGATAACGAGGGGCCCCGCACTCCAGTCACGAATCGCCACGAAATCCTGCAAAGCGCTGGCGTCCCCTCGGAGCGCTGCCCGGCAACAGCCACACGAAGATGCAAAGGCGGCGAGCTCGGCCCCTCGGAGGCCGCTCCGCCGGGGGCCGCCCGGCCCGGCCCGCACGGACAGACGCGGCCGCCTCGCCGCCCTTCCCGGCCTCCCCCCCAGGAGCCGGGGCGAACCCGGCACACGGGACACCGGAGAGGGCCCGGCTGCGCCGCACCGAGCCGGAGGCACCGGGGCCGGGCGAGGGCGGCCATGGCCGCCGGTCCGTCCCAGGGCGGCAGCGGGGGCGGCGCGGCCATTTTCTCTCTGTGCCGCGGTCGGGAGCGATGGCGGAGCTGCTCCCACTCCTCCCTCGGCCCCCGCCCCCGTACCGGCTGGTGGACGCCATCTCCCCGGTGCCGCAGCGGTGCCCGAGACGGTTCGGGGGAACGTCCCGGTTATTAAATACCGGCAGCGGCGGGCGGGGCCGCCGGGCGCTCCTACGGGTCCCGCGAAGGGGCGGGCGGGAGGACGGGGGGCCCCGCCCCTCGCCGGGGCCCGCCCAGCGGGTGTTGTGCGGCTGCGGGCCCGGCCGGGGCCAGCGGGGAGCCTGACCGCGGGCTGCGCCCCCTGCAACCGGGGGCGGCTTCGGGACAAAATCTCGTTGTAATAAACCAGAGGATGCGGCGTGCCCTGGGGCCGTCATTTAAAGGGTCTGCCCTGCGCTGGAACCTTGCCCTGGGACCAGGCCCACGAGGAGCAGCCCCGGGCTGCCCGCAGACCCCTTGCACAAAGCCCGCCGTGCTGCCCCCCGGGGCGTGACCCCGGGGTCAGCTGTTCCTGTGCAAACTCCAGCAGTTTAGTGAAATGCCGCAGAAAACAAGTGTAAGCAAAACTGCCCCAAGTTTGCATAGGGCGCACAATACGTTCTTGGCCCTGAAACTAACCAGAGACAATTCCCAGAAAGGGGAAGAAAAGAGAAGTTTAGTTCCCCCTTACTTGCATCTCCTGCTACAGCTGTTCTGCTTTGCCACTGCGCAGATGCCCTCACGAGAAGAACCTGGCCCTTCTTGCTGGTGTCGGGCAGCCCGGCTGTGACTCACGGAAGCCCTCGGCAAACAGGCCGTGCACAGACTCGGCCTGACTCGAGCACACACACACCTGCTGGCTTGTGTGGGCTCCCGGTGTTACCCTGCGCATTCCTGCAGGATGTGATCAGCTCCCCTTCTGTCCCTCCCCCTTGCACCCACCCTGGCAGCAAACATCAGGCCAAAGAAAAGGAGAAACCACAAGAACTGTTGCAAAACCAAAGCCCTCCAGCACTGGACTCCAGTTCAGGCTTTAATTAATCTGTATGATAAGCAGCAACAACAGGTTTTCAAACCCAAGCTATAAAACAGTGGAAAAAATTGATTCCTTCGGTATGACCTATTCTCACTGAAAGAGAGAGATGGATAGGACAGGACTGTCTACAGATTTTGGAAAGTGCCATTACTTCAATGCTTTAAAGTGATCAGTATTGAAGTCTCTTAAGAGTTATAAATTTGCTATCTATCTATTAATCAGATACAAAGGACTTTTCACATTTAAGACCATGTGTCCACTGTATAATGAGAGTATTTTCAGTTTACTAGCTCAAAGAAGGAAATTCACTGAGGTTGAAAAGTTCTGTTTATACTTGCTAATATTGAGTCAAATTCATACAACTTCTAAAAACTTCTCTGCTGACTAAAATACTATGTGCTCGTTGAAAATTAGCTGGTTTGAACCTGCCAATGAATTCCTTTGATTAAAAAAAATTAGAAACCTTTTGGAATAAAAGGAAGCTGAACTATTAGAAGGTATAGATACTAAAATACAAATTTAAGGCTTTTTTCACAAATGCTCAGTAAACTCAAAATATGAAAGAATAATAAAAGACAAATTACTGTAACTGTCAGTGTGAATACAGTATGTGATATTAAGTTTCCGCATAACCATGTATGGAGCAGTGACTGCAACAGATGTCCCCATCACCACTATCAGTCCCATCAAGCTTTCCAGCTTTGTCCTGGCTTCTCCTATATTCTATTCTACAAAAAAGATCCTCTGCTGGCAATCAATCCTCCTGACCCTATTCTCATTAACTAGAATGAATTTTATTTTCCCCACATAGCATCAATTCTTTATTCCCGTCTGCAGCAACTTTTCAAACACTTTGTCCAAAAGCAGAAGACAAAAAGTGGTTGATGTGGCAGATGGGAATACCACTATTAACAGTCTCTGTCAACAACAGATCATTTCAGTAGCTCACACAAATTTTACCTTGCTGTCCCCAGCTGTATCTGTTCTTTCCCATCACTGTAGTCCCAACAGTAATCTTATTTGAAAACTTATTTAATTGGTCATTCTGGAGCTTCTTAAAATTTCACGCCACATATCTCATGCTGGCTACTGTCCTTAATAAAAATGTGTAATTAAACTGCAATTCTTACATTGCTAATATTACCATCATAATTTCAACAATAATGCAATGGGATATTCAGATGCTTTTGCAAACACAATGAACATTAATTAAAACAAGTCATTTGTTCTTACTTGTATGTCTAAAAGTCCTTTGTAATGGTTTGTTGATTTACCATGCAGTTCAATTGCAATCTCTTAGTTCCTGCAACACCACAGCTCCCTACTACAACTTACATAAACTTACTCTCTACTACAACTTACAGATTTTAGACTCCTTGTAAAACAGAGTATGGATTTCACAGAAATTTAGTGCCTAAAAAATTAGTTTCTCCTTGAATTTAATGTAGGAATTTCCAAATGAAATTCATGCTGAAATTTCAGTTGAGTCATTTTAATTGCTGAATTTTTCTACACAAAGACTACACACCACCTTAAAAATACCAGCCAACCATCTTCTGGTGAGATTTGGAAAATGACAGTGCAAGACAGCTATAAAGACTATGGAAGTCCCAGCTACTGGACTCCCAAAAGCCCAGGACCAAGAAGTATTAATGAAAAAACTAGCAGCTGCTCTCACAGTCCAGTTTCTATACCTTTTTTTAGGTCTCGGCCATGGTCACAGTCTGATGGAATGGTTAAGATTCCAGCTGTGCAATCACAGAATGAGTAAAATATTTGCAAAACTAGTTACTGAACTTATTCAGGCTTTGCACCATAAGACCTGTGTCATGGTTTAAACCCAGCTGGCAACTGAGCACCACACAGGCACTCATTCACCCACCCCCCAGCCCCGTGGAATGGGGAGCAGAATCAAAAGTAAAACCTGCAGGCTGAGATAAGAACAGTTTAATAATTGAAACAAAGTAGAAAAGAACAATAATAGTAAATAATATTAATGATAATAGAAAGGATAAAAAAAAGAAGAAAAAGTGATGCCCAATAATTTCTCACCATACACTGACTGATACCAGCTCCCATCCCCAAACCCTGATCGGCCTCCTCTTCCAGTAACTCCCTAGTCTATATACTGGGCGTGACATTCTATGGTATGGAATATTCCTTTGACCAGATTGGGTCACCTGTCCCAGCTATGCTCCCTCCCAGCCTTTTTTTCTTTTTTGTGCCTCCTCACTGGCAAAGCAGAAGACACAAAAAACTGCTTCATATAGGATAAACTTAATTTAGCAACAACCAAACCATCAGTTGTTATCAACATTATTCTCATACTGAATCCAAAACACAGCACTGTACCAGGTACTGAGAAGAAAATTAATTCTATCCCAGTTGAAACCAGGACAGCCTGTAAGAAGAACATAGAAAGAACATGGAGAACAAAGCACACAGCCTTAAGAGGTTACCTACCTGGATTGCTTCTGCTAGTGGGAAACCCATCCACAGATTAAAAGATTGCAGAGAGAACTGAAAAAGGAGGCAACTAGAAAGGAATTCTCCATAATGATCTCTTTTGAAACAGTCCTTTATCTACTGTGCTTGAAACAAAGCCAGTTGAGCTCCATAGCACAGCATTAGGCCCACATCCATGGTCCTCCTAGATCTAAAGAGTTTGAAGTAAGTTTGGTGTGAAATTACCTATGTTGTGACATGGTAAGAAAAAGAATGACAGGATTGATTATGTCACTGTACATCTGATTGTAAACGGGCCTCTAAAGCAAAATCTTCTATATTTTACTTTGTAGATTTATCCACGTAATAAATACATAGGTAGACATAAGCAAATAGAATTCCTATTCTAGATGCCACTTGTACAATTTTATTGAGGACTGAATACTTTCAGAACACCACACATGACTATTGTGGGAAATAAAATAGTAATTATGCAACTTAGCACTTTTCATCTTATTTAAACTGATGCAATTTGTGCACAGACAAGATAGGTAGGTAGGTATGTGGAAAGTCACTGCAATTATCTAACATGAGGCATGTCTCAATCTTCCTCTACTGCAGGTTATTTGGTTTCACAAACCATGATGTTTCTAAGTCTCTCTTTTTAGTTCCTATACTATCTCATAAAAAAAAACCTCCCACTTTTTTCTTGTAAGCTTTAAAATACCTATATCATCTATTTATTTTACAGAGAGTCCTACCAATTTTTTCTTTCAATAAAAGAAGTGAACCCCATAGATTTATTTTTTTTTTAGGAAAAAAGTAAATTATTTTGAAAAGACTGAAAATAACCTCTGAGTTGCATTACACACATTTTAGGTAAATCATTGTTTTAATTCCTCAGCAGATGGCAGCAGAAAGTTATTTCCAAAGTCATATTAATTCTGTACTGTATTAAGTAATTTGTTCTTAAATTTCCAATAAAACTCCCCTACTAGATACCATACCATATGGAAGTGTTAATAAGAAAAATCAGCCTGTCTGCTTATTCCAGTTCTTCAGAATCACTTCAGCTGCATCTAGTGTGCTGTCTTTCTGCAAAACAAGGAACAGTTGCACTATTACTGCAAGTGTGGAGTTCTTGAATAGAGAGGCAGTCATGATTATATCATCCCAAATCAGTCTTGGGCAGTTTCACTCACATCCTGTAAATATCGTGTCAGCCAGTTTTTCCCTAACAGTTATTAGCTACAAATCTGGACTGCACAAAGAATTCAGTGCTGATTCCTTGAAAATATTTATTATATATATTTAAAAGATAACACATTTTCTCAGAATTTATACTATCACATTTAATGAAAGCAATACTTATATAAATGCTTGGCATTAATGCAGTGATGTAATTTGGCAGCTCTGTTTTGGAGACATGCTAGCTTGTCTCTCTATACCTTCCTAATCCCTATGTGTACAGTTGGGATTTTTTAATCTCCATGCAACCATGTTATGCTGTGAACCACTTAAAAATAATCCCCCCAAATATGGGTAATCTATCCATCAGCCATTTGTGTGGCTTGGCTACAACCTGGTGAGTCATACAGGTTGTCCAACTTGATTAGTCCAAAATGATTAGTGCTGCTCATCGCAGACAAGCCACATTTACAAGCAGCAAGTTTTATCCTGGTTGTTAGTGGCTGAGTTTATACCAAAGACTTTACACCTCATCAAAAGAACAAAGCAACACAAGGGGAAACTCCCCTTCATTACCAGTTCAGGCTAAAGCTCTGATCTTTACACAGAACAGTTAAGGATTTGTACATGTTCCATTATGCTGACTCTGCTGCAGAACAACTGGGAAACATCTCAGGGCTTCGGACTTATCAAATCTTACCTACCTGTCCCCAAAGTCTTTCAGTCTTTTCAAGAACAGACTCAACAGGGTAAAGAAAATGTAAAGGAGGTGTTCACAAAATGGCAAAAATCAGCTAATTCACAAAAAAACATGTTTTCTTTTGTAATTTGGAGCTTGTGTGAAATCCTGAGTATTTTTAAGCAAGTGAGCTAAACTTGAAGGTGACTTCTTTACTGTTTTTCTGTTGGACACTGAATGGGCATGAGGCATACCACTCTGCTGTACAGTTAATCTCTGCTCTGGATTTCTGCACTGCATTGATTTTCAGGACATAAATTTACCTTAATGAAGCAAAAACGTATATATTTTTCAAACTGTTTCTTTGTTTCAGGACCACAGAATGCTGAAAGAGGAATTGCTGACAGCTTCTGAAACATAAAATAGAAATAGCATTTGCCTATTTATATGCGTAAAAAATCTGTTTTAAGCATGATGATTTTACTATTCCATTTCTAGAACTCTCCCTCACAACATGTGATGAAAAGATAAGGTTTGGTTTTGTATGCACAAGCTATTCTTTTCTAAACTCAAATTACTTTTCTTAGGCAAAACATTTCAAAGGTACTTACTTCTATTCAACAAACATTTAAACATGCCAAAAGAAAAGTGCTGAGGTGTAACACAGACCTACAGGGTACATTGTCAGCATATTTAGCAATATTTTAGTCACATAATTAACAACAACACCAAATAATATTTTGAATGGAACATGTCTACTACACTATTTAATAACTAAGTTGCACTGCTCTTGCTTTCAATAGAAAAGCAATTCTAAAGCCAGAGTATGACTCAGATGTCTTACCTTAGATGCTATCATCCATCTGACAAATTTATAATCATAAGGTTGTTTCTCATCTACATCAGAGAGATCCACATCTAAAAAAATAAATTTGAAACAAATATGTTGTAAGATTTCCTAGACTCCACTGGGAAAGCATTCATTAACAGCATTTTATTATAGTTAATATTTAAGAATAAAGATACATGCTTTCATTTTCGTATATAATTTCTAAATTATAACAATTAAAATGGGCCAACAGATTGAACCTTTCCATTCTGACCTGAGCACTTGCTTTCCATCCGAAGCAAATTCAGACATGTAGCTTGGAAGAAAACCATGTAGTATGCCAAGAAGTCTTGAAGCCTGGGTTATTGAGAAATCAGGGCTCTGAAGGGTACTGAAGGGGGCATTTATTGCAGGGACTGTAATAATCCCTGCAACTGCAGTTTTCTCATCTCTGAAACTGGAGTACCTAAAACTTTCTGTCACATGGTAAAGCTGTGAGGTCCAGCTATGTTTAAACATTTCTCACTGAATAAAAAGTGCCATTAAGACCAGTTAGGGAAAAACGCGGAACTAGAAAATGTTCCCCTGTGGGAATTCTTCCTCCAAAGTTGCCATAACCTGAATTTCCAAAAGGTTTTGTAAATTTTGGTAGCCTTTTACACTTTAGAAATCAGAATGCCTCAAAGAGCCTTCAGGGTATGACTTCAGATTAAGAAAAACAAAGAAACCAACAAAAAAAGACCAGAAAGAAAAAAGGACAAATGGTGTGAACTGAAGGTGCAAGGCTCTCAAACATTATCATAACCATATACCTTTTGAAAATAGAAATGTTTATCCACCTCCTTTATCCTCTCTAAAAACTTGACAAAGTTTTGCAAAACACCAACAGCAGTTAGGATCATAAAGGCTTTGCTGAAGCTCATAAAGTCTACCTTACACACTAAGGTCAAACAGAAAATTTCAGTCCCAGCGAGTACTTCTGACAACGTTATGCAAACATGAAATGAGAATACAGTTTAAAATGAAAGTTGCATTTTCAGATTAACTATAGTTACTTTCCACACCCTTTTTAATAAACTTTATACTAACTTAATGTGGAAACATCAACAATCATAAAGTATCCTCCATCTGGAATGACAGGCTTTAGTCCAGCTTCTTTAAGGAGTCGAGCCATCCGATCACGCTTGCTTTCCAGCTCTCGAGACAGTGAGTAAAAATAGCAGTCTGGGTCATCCATGCGCTTATAGTCTATCCAAAATGCTTGTGCCAAAGCCTCCTGGAAACATAATCAATGGTCAAAGTACTCATGAACAGTCAGTAAACTCACAGACTCACACACTTCCTCTGAAATCACATGGATTTTTATTCAATCCCGGCCCTCATTAAGCAAATCAGCACACAAATTACACAAGCTACAGTCAAGTCTGTAATTTGCTTGTTACTTTGTGCTGTGGCAACACCCAAAGCACCCAATCTTTTGCTAGGCACTAATAGTGTATGGAAGTCACAGTCTTTGACACAAGGGTTTACAATCTGAATTGAAGCTAAATTTAAATTATTGGTAATAATGCATCATAAAATACTAGAAACTAGTAGACAGAGATAATGCTCAGTAAAACAAGACTTTGTTGTAACAACTTTTATTTGTATTTGCTAGGAAATCACTAAGATTGTCGGTTTTATGCAAGTGAAAAAAGAAAGAATCTGCAAGACTGATTTTTTTTTTTTAAATGTCTGGTGAGCAGATCAAATTTATTTCCTCTTCTTACATTCCATTTAACATTTCAACAACTAAAGATTCATTGTTGTGATTACTGTTTTATTACAGTGAGGCCAACAGCTTTCCTACACCAGAAAACAACCTCCTCTGCCCCATCAATACATACCTGTAATGGAGTTGGGCAAGTATACAGTGTATTTTGGTGAACAACTTGCAGATGCCTTATCAGGTTTTTGGGACCAATGGACCAACCAAGCTAAGGGAGGAAAGCAAGCAAAATAAAATTAAAAAATAATGAAAATTAGCCAGTGTCTCAAGTTTTTCATTTTAAGCAAAATATTTTACAGAAATATGAGCCATTTCAAAACATACCATATCACCACAACACTGGGAAACTAAAATATCATAATATGCAAGAAGCTTGACTGGTTTTGAACAAATCACAATGTAGTGGGTTTTTAGTATTTGTTTCCTCACAGGCACACATCAATGGAGAGACAAGAAGATAATTACAACATGGGTGTTAAAGACAGGTAATTGCTCCAACTGATATTGTTCTGTTTTGGAGACATGGAGATTTGCCAGAAGCTTCCAAAACACAAGTCATAAAAACAGAGGCTTTTTTAGTGTAATAAATGCATTCTGTTACTTATATAACTGAAGTCTTTCATATTGAGCCTTCTTACCTTCCAGCCAGTTACACTGTAAGTTTTCCCAGCACTTCCTATAGTTACTGTTCTTTCCCACATCCCTGGCAAGGTAGCTGTATATAAAACAAAATTAATTTGGTACAGGTGAACTCACCCATTCCATGTAATCTGAAGGATTACTGTAGTACTGCCCTAGCTCAGAGCTGTGTGTTCATATATCATTGCACCATCTTAAACAAGCAACGAGAATATTCTAAAATTTCAGCAATTGTAACGAATGAGAAAGGATATACGGGCCAATGCTTTCAGCATGAAAAGGAGGTAAGGATTAATGGAAGGTGATAAAAGAGGCAGAAAATAAGAGGCAGTTTTAAAACTACATGTTAGTTCTCCTCAGCAAAAATGCATAATTATTCATAAGAAAGATATGATCTAAGAAGTGGCTATCCATTCACCTGAGGACAGCATTATTTCTGATGCCTGACAACAGCACTATACACAACATTAACTCGGTACTGCAACCCACTTTAATAGAATTGTCCAGGTCAATGTCACTGGCTTAGACATCAGAAAAATAAAATAATTACTAAGACTTCTAACCCAGAACCAAACAGCAGAACATCAGAAAACTAGCAGAGTGAGTAAATAAACTATGTTGTGTTATATAATTTGAACAGGCTTGGAACTGACTGACAGTAGCAGTTAGCTAAAGATGTCTGCAAGGATTAAGGGAGGCATGGAGGCCTGTCTCTGTTTCTGCAGTTGTATCTGATAGGAGACCAAAATCCTTTGTTTCCTTTCCAAGGAGATGACAGAGTAAAGGTCTCTTCCTGTAGTTTGCAGGTTTTTTTTCTGTATATTGCTTCTGGAAGTGATATTTGGACTCTTTAACTTAAGTAATTTTCAACAGAAACAGATAAATCAAGACACACTAAAGTCTGAGACACAAAGTTAGACTTTGTGTTAGACAAGGTTGCAACTGCAGTGGTCACCAACATCCATCTTCACCTCATTTGTATACTAGAACCACTTCCAGTGAACCTGTCAGTTGTTAAATCCCCTCTCTAGGGAGAACAATGAACAAAAATTTTCCAAATTAAACCACAGTGTTTCACACTGAAGTTTTTGCAGCAGTTATCTGCATTAGATATGGTATAAGTCTTTACAGTTATTTGAAAACATGTATTGTAATTTTTTGAGCAAACTTGCCAAGAAGAGAAACGAAACAGCATGAAAAAACCTGATATTCCTATTAGTCCACTCATATTGACTTAACTGCTCTGTGACCCTAAGAACAAAAAGGCAACATGAACAGATGCATCTTCTACCTAGCTCGACCAAGAGTACAGATCACTTCCTAAAGGCACCCAAACTAGCTCTCACAGACTGCAAAAATAATTGGCTTTCAAAACTAATGGCCTCTAGCAACACTGTTTTGCCACACAGTCATAGGTATTCAGCCTTGGAGACAGAATGTAACAGCATTTCAAACAACAGCAGCAGCACAAGGGCACAGGGAAAGAAGCTTTTACAAGTTTTAAATAGAGAGGGAAATTCTCTATGCCATATGGTAACTACATAGGACATCATATACACTACAACCAAGTCTGACTACAATTTAAAAACTAATGAAGTGCAAACTAACACGTATAAGAAGCCTGTTACCTGGGATGGCACTCAGCTTGTTCAGAGGCTTGTTCAGAATCCTCAGTTATGAGATGCAATCTCTAAATCTGCCAGTGCAACCCTAATCATTATTCAGAGTCAGATGATGAGAAACATGATGAAGTGGTCTATGCTACAGAAAACTGCTTCAGTGACAGCACAAAGACTGTATTAATTTTATGATCTGTGGCTAGCAACCCCTGTTAAATTGTATTAAGGAACCACCATTAGAACATGTAAATTGATGCAATATCCATTTTGTATCTCCCACAAAAAAAGTGTCACTGCATTGAATGGAATATGTAGAGGTTAATATGGAAACACAGGAGTTTATAAATAGTGAAATAACACACTTATTTTTATTGTATTATTTTTTGTAGACTTAAATAAGAAATCTAATCAACTTAGGTTAAAAAAGAGCAGATCTTATTTCTTTTACTGAAATAATGTTATTGTTTACAGTGTTACCCTGAAAGTTTTATACTACTTCTAACACTAAAGTTGAAGATGATATAATGGGATCTGTTAGAAAATATGCACCTAAACCTAGTTGGCCAACTTCCCAGGCTTTAACTTGCATTTTCATTAGACAGTATTTTTATATTTTATGCTGATCCACAGAATATCCTCTGTTCAACTGGAACATGTTTTGGTTTGAAGCATTAGATGACAATACTGATGCCAACAACAGTGGAGTTACTGCCTCTTAAGAATCCGTCACCTGTCCACTAAGACAAAGTGTGACTGACAACATGAGTGTTTGGACCTGCTGCTTTTGCAAAGCAAAATGGATTACCTTACACCACCCATAGAGATTTTGGTTCTGAGGACAGCTATTTGCACTAAATACCTGCTAAGCCCATGAAGAAAGCTTTAATTTAACTGATTTTACTTTGCAATTGGGACATATGGTCAGTTACTGTGCTAAGTTGCTAGGATGCAGTGACTCAAATTACTATCACATGAATGTACCCAAAATGTTCCCCTTTTTCCATATCTTAAGGTTTTTGAGAAGGTATCACTATTAAGGCAACCACAGCAGCCATGGAATTAGGTCACTCTCAAAACAGACTCATAGCCTATGCATGGCCAGTACAATCAATGTACTGTCAACAACTGTGAGGCTGAGCTAATAAGTATTGCAAGGTCATTTAGATACAATTTCCTTTTTATTATTTACAAGATTCCGGTTTTACAATGATTTAGCCCCCATTAATTGAAAGTTTTTTATTGCCACTCTAAGAATATGGAATTGAAGCATAGAAGCAAAGTTATTCAGCATTCAATCAGTGGCAAAGCCAGGAAAAAAGTTAAGCTTTTTCTTGTCTAATTTATATTTATATGTCTTGATTTCATTGTTTATTCTCAACTAGATGCCTCTACTGCACACGACTGAAATGTGCCTTCATAACAACAGTAACTACATCTTAACAGACAGTTCATGCAAGATGCTACCATCAGAAACAAATTTTGGACTTTAGCCAGCTCAAATATATCAGGAGAGCCAAACTAAGACCACCACACTAACTCTTACATAAATGCTTAGCTGTAGCATTATGGAACTGGGGAAGGAGTTCAGTACCCTGCACTAAATTAAATTTTCTGAGACAGTGGGAGTGATTCCACCAGCTTCAGTAAAACTGGGATCAAGAAATAAAACAAGAGGGACAGGGACATTACATCATGTTTGTTTTTCTGGCTTATTCTTGCAGTAGTGCTTCACCCCTGTAGCAACTCTGCCTGAAAACTAACATGCTCTCACACTGCACTTGCAGTGACTTAGTTCACTGAATCCAGTGTCCATTATTTGGACTGAATACAATGTCCAATGTCTCTGCACTTGGGAGGGACACTGCTCATGCACTATCTCCATGCTGACCTTTATACTGCTTTTTATTTTTTATAACTAGTGGAGTAAAAAATATTGTGTTCCTCATTATCCATTTCCCTCATTGATTATGTCTACAATACCCCGAGAAGGAAGTTCTAATCCCTGTTCCTTCTATTAGTCCTTTAGCAAAGCACAGTCCAATACACATACTGTAACAGAAGCTATACTTGTCATGGCCCACAAAGTAACCAAATAAGGATGGGATATTCATATGATCATAACTGACTTATGAGCATCAATCCCACTGGTTTCTATGCATGTCTGCTCCAAAGTCACTTGAAAATTCTATTTGGAAATTATTCTTTAAAACACTTTTCAGAAAAGGGAGGGGCTCTCCTCCTTAGACCCTAAACATTGCTAAATAGTCAAAGCTTGAAGTTTGAGCTCCTTCCAGCAAGCATTATCTCTGAGAGGCAAGCTTACAGCATCATTCCACAACCAATTCTAAGATACCACAGAAAATCAGTACCTATTTTAATGTGTTTATTCCCTTTATACACCAGCCATTCATACACCTCATCGCTGATGCACAGGGTATCATGTTTAATACACAGATCAGCTATTACTTGAAGTTCTTCCTGGGTAAACACCTGGGATACAAAAAAGTAGGGGACAATGCATTAATTATAGTATTTAAGCCATTCTTTGAAATTATAGTAGTGTCAAAGCAGGACTCTTACCTTGCCTATAGGGTTATGTGGGGTATTCAGAATAATTGCTTTTGTTTTGGAATTAAATTTATTTGCAAGTTCAGCAGGATCCAAGACCCAATCAGTACTAGATGCAGAGTTTCCATTATTTTTCTAAAAAAACAAAACAAACAATAAATGTATGCATTACTTGAATACCACAGCCTAAAGAGAGATGCCTAACTTATCACTCTCAGACACTTTCATAACAATACTTGACAACCTATCCACTCTGTTCTGTTCTCCTGGGAGAAGGCAGTTCTAGGAACAGGCAGGGAGGCCTAACAACAAGGTAAATTATTATGACAGTGGCTGTCTTCTCCTGGCCAATGTCTGTCTTAAAGCCTCTGCAGGAATTGTTTTCCAGGATGTTATTGTACACCTGAGGATCATTACAGTGTGTACTGCAGAAAGCCCTGTCACATGGCAGGAGTGTTTACAGCCTTGCCAAATACTAGAGCAAGTGTGTGCATGCTTGACTGGGAACATCACCACTGAAGGGATTCAAGATCTCTTCCTCGTCCTTGAACATATGAAAATAGACAAAGAATTAAAAATCTGCACCACTGAGGCTCTGGATTTATACACTACACAATACAAGTGTCCCTGTGGTATTACACATGGATAACAGAAGTTTGGGCCAGTTGCTATGGAGAACATAGAGCATGGCCACACTGACTTTCTGACACCTACACATGACTGGAAGAGAGTCAGACCAAAAACAAGGGTGTGAAACAGAAAATACTTGGAGGAACACTGTCATTCAAAACATCCCTAGAAGGAGGGCATCCAGATGAACAATCTCACCTACTCCCACTGCATCTGTGGAGGTTCTGTCCCTCTGTGTTGTTCTGATTTCAGTGAGTTCATTCAGCAGTCTTACCTAAAGAGCCCCTCAGCCCTTCCCATGCAAAGCTACCAGTTGCACAAGGCAATGGTCACAGGATCAACACTTTGCATCCAGAACAATCCTTGCAAGCTGCCAGCAGAATGCCAGTAGTACCAAATTGACAAGTAATCCACAGCAAAATTAGTCCTTTTTAACAATAAACAAAACAATAATCCTTGTATATATAGCAAATATGTGTATTGCACGATCAGTCTTTATTTAGCAAGCAGATTTTGGAAAAGTAACTGTATTCTGTTATTGTAGGAGTTGCTGAAGGGATCAGAAATCAAATCATCTGAAAACCAACAGATACAGAAATGGCACTGATGTGATCCCCTTCTATTATTTGCAACGAAAACTGAAAAAAGTAATTTTAATCAGCTTTCAAAATGCACAAATTAAAGCAAATGAGAAACATTGTTGCACCTTCTCCAACACTAATAAAATATTCTATCTGCCTTTGACTATCATTGTCTCAGACTTACACTACAGCAGTCCACCTCATTTTTATGTAATTGGATGTTACAAAAAACTATACAGAAAAGCATCTCATAGAAGGTGTTCATCAAACTGTATTGAGTGCAGATGAGAAACTTCATATGATAAATAATTTTTAAAAAGCTACTCACACATCTTAGTGGGATAAAAACAGGCTTTGCACCCGCCATCCTTACCATTGGCTCATAACAGTCATAAAATGGCTCTATTATTATTACCTGAAATTACAACAATCAGTATTAGAAACAGAGAATTTACCATGCATGATGTCATCATATTTGCAGATTTACTTTGGTGGTATAACTTGTTAATGTTTCTGGTGCTCCAGATACAATGATATAACACTACAGAATATTCCTCCTTTTAGAGCATCACACGACAATGCCACAAGGTTGAGTATGATAAGCACTACTCATTTTTGACAACACACACAGGCTGTTCGTCTATAGTTACACATTACAACTATTAAGTTACAATACTACAATTTATGTCCTATACATAGATTTGAAGGTGCAAGGCAAAGATGCAAAAATGGTAGATAATGACAGCAAGCTGTTGAACCACAGCACAGCTGCCCTAATTCTGTCCATAAAATGCCAAGATTTCCAAGTATCTAGAAATCTCAGAAGAACAGCTTAAATCCTCAGATTTTATCCTCAGCAACAGAAGAGGAAGATACAGGTGAGAATGCAATATATAGAAGCAAAACAAACAAAACACTGAAAGCAAAATGCATGACAACACAAAAAGGTTTTGTCTGCTATGTATAGAAATATTTCAGTAAAATGACTTGTAGTATCGTTGTCAAAAAGGCAGACATCAGTAATGATGAAGGGATGACTCATCACAGCTAGTACACTAAATTAACAATCCTTTCTTTGAACGACTTTTCTGCTACCTATGCTGCCATCATACAATGGTCCAAAACAGAATATGGTACCTAAAGGTCATTCAAACATCAACACTTCTTTGCACCACCCTTAGTCCTCTGGTGCAGACAACAGCCCAGTTGCTTTCTCAAGTTAGAAATCAGTGTGTACTGTGTCACTTAACAGTAACAGTGATAAAGAAACTGCTACAGGTATCATAAGTATGAAAAAGATATTTTTATGTTGGTGAATGATAGGTAGACATCCAAAAGATAGGCTCCTAATCACAGCTTCTGAAACCATAAGTCAGGTGCACAACTGCAACAAATCAAACTAATGGAGATAGAAAGAAACCCCAACATTAACTTATGTTTAAAAGTGGACAAATAAGAAAATAGGAAAACTCTCATTTCTGCAAGTATATGTGAATATTTCCAATAAAAACTTACTTCATCTCCCTCTTCTATTAATGCCTGTATTGTACTAAAGAGAGATCCATAAGCTCCCACGGTCACCAGGATATCTGTGAGAGGATCAATCTTCCTTCCACAAACTCTCTCATACACTTGAGACAAGGCTTTCACCAGCGATGGATGTCCCTGTTCAAAGCAAACAAATGTAACTGTTTGGAGTGTTCCAACAATGTACAAAGCCTGTCTCTGGGGGTTTTCCACATATATCAAAATAGTACATTTTGAAATAGAAAAATATGACATAAGCCCTCAGTGTTAATGGCTGTTAACAGGTAGCACGTTTTAAGCTTTTTGCACATTAGGAAAGAGTGCTTTCAATTTATTTGTATCTACTAGGAAATTCTTTTTCTATCTGGTGGTTTTTAATTTCTGCCATATTATCACACCTCAGAGTAGCACCAGGTAGCCTATACCAGAGCTAGGACAAGAGACAGGAGGAGAGAAGGGAATACTCTGACACCAATTCAGCCTCACCCTCCTTTTGAGTCTCTTTCAGCTCCCTCTGTTTTTCTTCCTTATCTTTCAACTAAAAAGTGTTTGGTGCAAGGGAAATATTTTTATTCTGTTTATATACTGCTAATAAACAGCACTTGTAATCAGAATAATGATTCATATAGTCACATCCCAAATCTCAGAGCACTGTTCACCATTTGTGTCCCCTCCAGGGACACAGTAGTTAACACATCCTTCTCAAAATGTGCAAAGAACAAGAAAATAAACATGCAACAAAGATCATATACAACATGGAAATAAGAAGACACAATGTTGTTTACTCAGAAAAACTGCAGAATTCCTGCCGTAAAAATCTTTTTTCTTTTGGGATACTTGGTAGAAATAGAAAACAGCTCCTTGGGAAAACACAACTACATAACAAAAATCCTCTAAAATACTGAACATTATACTTCTATAGACAAGGCATTAAATCACAAACCTTTCTGTAAACAAAAACATTACCCTAAATTAAGCTTACAAGTCATTGCTGATTCAAGTGACAGCCATTTCTTGCCGTGTCATGGCAAGACAGGAATGCTACAGCACCCAAGTCACATTAGGCCACAGCCCTACAATCAATGAGAGCTTAATTATCAGATGGATAGAGATCATTCATTCTCATCCCTCCCACCTCTGCTACCACAAACACTTGTGCTCAAAAACCTTAGAAATGCAGAAGTTTGCAGACGAAGTACAAAGGCTGAAGATGGGAATATTGGTAAAAATTCCTCTTTAAGTACTATTACAGTATAATATATTTTCCAACATTCATAATTATCATGGGAATTATCAAACCATTTGGATATAAAGAACAAAGTGATAAAAGTAAATACTGAATAATTGCATGCATTAGGAAATTATATTTATGCTTGATTCACATATAGTTTTAGAGAATCAGTCTGTGAATCTTCCTCAGAAGGTAGACTTGGCCTGGTTTCAGCTGGGATAGAGTTAATTCTCTTCTTATGAGCTGGTAAAGTGATCACTGGGTTATGTCTATCCATGGTTAGCATTGCTGGGCCTGAACTGTGGATTGAATTCCTGGCTTGCTCTCAGGTCCACCTCACCACCACAAGCTTGTCTGGTGACCTCAGCCACCATCTCTGGGCCTGTCTTGCTCAGGTACTGTGGGAATGGGCCCTGGCTGGTGAGACCTCTGCCCTGCTCACTGTGATAGCTTGTCCTTCACAGAACTGCTGGCCACTGCTGCTCCCCATCAACTTCTTAGAGAATAGTCAAAAAGTAATCTTGGAATATGTACACAGTGATGCCATGACTACCAACACCATTTCTGGCTTACCAGTCTATAAGATGCTCTTATATCACTGTTGTATAACATGGTCATCTAGAAGAATATTAAATAGATGCCCTTAGGGTCTTGTAGCAATCCTGACACACAATTCTCAGTTGGGCAATATAGTCTATCTTTACCACAAAATAAAAGATAGGCAAACCAAACAAGGAAGTGGTCATAGTAAAACAGTAATAGTCACTGGAATATCCTGCCTTGGATAATCATAAATGCCATACACTCACACCCAGCTCAAGACATAAACTCTACAAGCCAACTTCCAGAATGGGTAGTGACTGCCTTCCAGGGGGCAAAAACTTACTCTTTTCATCCCTTCCTAGTCTCCAGTGAAATCTACTAAATGCTATGGGTCAATCTTTTCCGCATTGTAGAGGCTCTGTCTCAAGTGCTACTCTCTCATTCTACCATTATACTGTCTGATTTATGTTTATACAGAGGTAAATGCAAAATGTATCATCTACTCTCTTTAAACTGTGAATTCACTCTTCAGAGACAGTCTACCCCAGATGTGCTCCACCATTTTGCTCTAGCTGAGGGATTTGCCTTGAAGAAGCCTACACAGAGGAAGTTCATGAGTAACAGATAAGGCTACTGGATCAACTTACTTTGGAACATAACAGTACAATCTACAGATAAAAACCAATTTAAAGCAAAGTCAATTTTTTCCCCTGTGGCACATTCTCCACTGAACTTGGGTCCTTCAGTTCCACAATACTTACAAAGCCTCGTGTGTACTGGTTCAATCTGTCAACTGCTGCTGCCTTTGCCAGCTCCTCTTTCACATAGCTGGGAGGGGATATATCAGGAAGGCCTTGACCGAGATTAACAATAGAGGGATCTGCTGCCACTTTTGTAAATTCAACCCTAAAGCAAAAAACATCTTAAAGTTAACATAACAAATAAAATTATCTTTTCATTTTTTAAGATTAAAAGGCAAAAAAAAGTGTTTCACTTGGACAAATTCACAGCAGTGGAAATGGGTTTAAGTAGAGTGTTCACATGGAGAACTGAGGGCTGGGACAGTGGTAAGTAACCACAGGGGTCACAGGGCACCCAAGAAAACATTTGACTTTCTCCATCCACTTCTCCAACTTTTCTGCCAGCAGAACTGTGCTCAGATGTGCAAATGTACAAACACACAGTTACTGTGGATATAGGCAGAAATGGAACACCAGGCACATTAAATGATTTCAAGGCTAAATTCTGTCAAGTGAAGGTGCCATTTAAACTACTCAGACACCTCTGAGTGCTATATTTTTATTTTTTTTTTTTTTATTTAAGGTAACAAACTGCTTTAGACTGCTCATTAACTGTTCCTAGTAGCCTGCCAGATATGAATGTTAGGATTCACAAACAGTTTTTCCTTCTTCCCTTCACAAGTCAACTTTACATTTTACTCTTTCCTCCCTACCAAAATATTAACAAGACTTTAAAAAAAAACAAAACTAAACTAAAACCCCTCCACATAGCATAACAGTTCTGTCAAAAATGAAAACACATTGCTAAAAAAATTAGCTTGAAGCTGAATGATCAAAATACTTTGTGCATATGTGCACACATACATATATACATAGAACTAATCTAAGCCTACAATAGTGTTTTCATCACCTAAGAAAATTCCATATTTATTAGTGATGGCAATATTGCTTTAAGACCAATTTAATACCTAGAAACACAAGTATTAAAAATAAATAATAATAATTAAAAATAAATTATAAAGACAAGTATAATGGCTTTAAAAAGAAATCTGACTTATTTGGTAAACACGAATCAAGTGTAATGGAAATACATTACCCAACAGAATTAACAGTTAAATTTAAAAGTCAGCTAAACTACCATGCCCAAGAGTTATATTTGTCTTATGTGGTTTACTGGATGAAGAGAAGTCTAAGCCTAATATTTAAAGCTCAAAAATAACAATTAATCACACCTTTAACTGAATTTCATTCACTGCTTCTAAACAGGTACCACATTTATTCCAGCAGAGATAGCAGCTGCCATGTACCTTATTATCAATTTGGAAAGGAAATAAATCCACCAAAGACATTTTCTGAAATTTGCAGATATTTTCCTTTTACTCACCACACATTGCTGTCAAGGCCTTCAATTCGTCTTGTGTTTTTGTGTCTGAAGGCCATTGTCTGCAAGATCAAAATATACACACAGAAGGGGTTTGTTAAGGAAGACAAAGTACGATATTGTTGGATTCTGCATGACAAACCCTCCTTCATGCTTTCTCAGAGACACCACTGCCAGCTGAACTCAGTAGTTACACAAAATTATAGACATGTTCTTTCATTAAAGCTTCCATAATAGCTTGAATTCAGATTAACACGAAAATACACAAAAATATCCTAAATTCTCATTCGTCATTATCTAAAGCCACTAAACTTTTAGCAAGGATGGAGGAAGGGCATAATTTAGCTCAAGAGCTTTAACAGATGTCCTAAAAAGAAAAAAATACTGTACATACTTTCTTTTTCTTTTCTATGATGTGCTAAAAACTTAAAGACTGTGCTATTTCTAGCCCAATTCCTGCTTAATCCAGTTTGGAAAGCAAGCACTTGCAATGTAATTTTATTTGTTAAATTGATGGGTAAGAGGAAAGTAGCAAAGACATTTCCTATTTTCATTCAGATTTTTAAAACTTTAAAGTATCTACTCAAAGCACTAAAAACCCACAACAGAACATGTTTTTGCTGTATATTCAGACCTTAAATTAAGGTATTGGAAGACTCCTGTAGAATAGACCTTCAATGACTACTCTATATAGAGGCAGAGAAAAACCTAGAGATAGTTGTGATATTTTTAAGATAAAAAGAGAAAAGAAATTTAGGAAAAAGGAAAACCAGATTTATTTCTATGGGCAAACAAAAAAAGTACAAGCTCGTATCTATTTTTGTAAACCAGCTTGATATCGGAAAAAAATACATAGGAATTACATAGTCCCTGAGTACCCCAGACACTCCTGTTTCTTTGAGTCAAACAACTGAATTTTAGCACCTTTTACCACTACCAGCTATTGTTATTGCCTGAAAGATTCAAAAACCATATTCTAGCCACTGTACTCCGAGAAGAAAATGTCAGCATTACCATTACACTCCAAGTTTCAACTTTGAATCAATGGAAATGACTCACAGTAGAAACATTATGCAGCAGGTACACTTTGGTACTCAAACTGTTTATAGTAATGAATACACCATATACATTGTCATTTGAAGAATGGGAAGCTATAAAATTAAACAGATACTTTTCTGCTCATGTCTTCTCTACAGATCTGATTCTGACCTCAGCAATATGACAAGAACACCAGAGGAATCCAACACAGGACATCTTTTATTTGTCCTCATGAAGAAAACTGTAAAGATAACTAGACAGGTGAAGTCATACTTCTTAACACAGAACAAAAGGGAGTTAAGAGAGAATTCTGACTAGGTAATCTGTACTGTATATATTTAAAGATGCACATATGGTTTAGAAGAGTAATCCAATTTTACAGTGTATGTTTTGTTAAATATGACTAATGTTTGGCTGTATTTCAAAAAGACAAATAACACTGGTACTACTTAGCCACATACACATCTTTTTTTACATGCTGATTTACGTGACACAAAACTAGTGCATCTCTAAAATATTGCATGAAATAGTTTTCTCTACAAAGCTGAAGGAATACTTACTGCAGAGGCTGAATGTTTGATGGATCTGGAAAGCAAATCTGTTCGTAGCTGGCATGTTCTAGTGCCACGGCAACAGAAGCTTCGTGAAGCAAAAAACATCTCTGCATAATAAATAAGTGACCTGAAAAACCTTACAGATTCTAGGAATGAGCTTCTTCTACACATCACTAAGCAATTTTAAAAGATAAGAGCCTCTCCTCTTCCCTCCAGTGATTTTGTTTCAATTAAGTAAACTCTAGTAAATTATTACCTTGCCACAGTTCTAACCATAGACGATGAAACTTTCTAACTGACAGGGCTGCAAAATGTTTCTGAATGTCATCTCAAAGGAAGGTTTCCTTTCTTTGTCAGCACTGATCTTCTTTTCTTTGAATAATAATTAAGACTAAATGAAATTCAAGCTTCAAAGTCTCCGTTAGAATTGTTGTGAAAATGGGTCTGTGTAATAAAAATTGATATTACAGTTGCCAATACAGACAGAATAGAAAAAGAGCCTAATTTCTAAAAAATTACACATCTTTAAAATTGGTCTCCATTTCCAAGTGTTTCAAATCAGGTATGCTGAAACCAGGATCATTAAGATCACCAGTCACACAAGAGAGGCAGGCCTACACACTTTATGTAGCTATACCTAGTTCTGCCACAGTGACTTGGCAAACATCAAATATCTTCTACAGCAGAACACAGAGAGCTGGAAAAGGAGTTCTGTGTGGAGTAATAGGTCATTAACTGACTGGAGAAAATATGTCCTGTTAATCAACAACTATAAAGAAAGAAGTAAGAGCTGGTACTTCAAGCAACTACTTCCAGAATGTATTTTTAACATTATCATTTTTGATATTATCAAAATGACTGGAATATGTTAGAGAGAACCATGTAACCCACAGATCTATGTGAGAAACACAGTAGCCACAGCAGTATAATTATTAACTATGTTTTCCAAAGTTTACTCATTAAAGGATAACTCCTGCTCCACCCAGATTTCCCTACCTGAAAAGGGGAAGAGAACAAAAAAAAAGGTTCTTTACACTTACAAACTAATAGAAAAGGTCAATCAACACTCCCTTTTAAGGATGTCTCATTGAATGACTTAAGTTTTAAAAGTATGCTGGTTTTGTCTTTGTCTTGTTCCAGGTGCTTCTAACTCAGTCTCAATTCTGAAATCAAGGTCTTTCTCACACAGTACTGAGTTGTAGCTAACTCAACCAGATCTTCAAAAATACCTACGTAATCCCACTGCATTTAGCAATCTGCAAGTAATCAACTGTAGTTCCTTTACAAGAAGAAACTCTGCTGGCCTGAGGACTGGCAAAAGTAAACAGCAACTAAATCTGTGACACTAGTTTGCAGATACTCTGAAAGACACAAAAAAATATTTCTGTTTAAAAAAGACCTGTAAATCCATTTTAAGTTACTTCTAATATAACCACTTAGCATATTCACCATAATATTTGATAATAACTATGTGAAATCAAAAAGATTGTGAAGGTCTCTATTCCTCTCCTTGTGCAACCTCACAAAAACTACTTATGTAACATACTGATACTAACTTAAAATGTGACCATGATAATGGTGCTATTCCCCAGGGTGAGACCAAAGGCAGCATTGCTCTTTCAGCTGCAAGTGCTTGCAGTAGTTAGTTAGCACTGAGGGGCAAACATGTATATCTCTGCCTGTTTCATTTCGTATTGAGGCATAGAAAAATTAAATAAAAAACTTGCAAGCCTTACATGCAAAACTAACTTGCAAGTGTTGTTAGAAAAATTATTAACAGCTGTAAATATTTCCAGCATTAGTGCCAGGCTGCACTGAAAGGCAGTGTGGTATTTGTGAACCATTATTCAACACAAGGCAGTCATGCAAAACCACAAGATTGCATGAGCCACAGCAGACCTGTATCACTGTGGTGTGGCCAATCTCTGCAAGTACTTAAAATACCTGAAGTGAAAAAATATATCCACCTTTAACGCCAGGAACTGTGAAAACTTTATGGGGAGCATAATGGAAACAATACTTTGCTGAGCAGCCTCAGCAAGAAAAGGCACTAGAAGGTAACATTTCTCCCACTGTGTTTCAATCTTTGTGACACTTTTCCAGTGAATGCTGAACAGCATTTGTTCAGACTCAAGAGCACTCAGAGACAACTACTGGCCATCAAATGAAAAAGCCTCATCTAAAATACTTTTATGACTTTTTATTGCTAAAAATACCTCTTCCTTCATGTGCAATTGAATATTTCCACTTAAACTACTCTAGGGAGTAAAGGGAAAGGCCTCTTTAATATAACCAGATACTCTCCTACATTGTTTAAAAAAAAAAGAAAAAAGAAAAGAATAAAAGAAAGGCCTACTCTTTTTTTGCCCAAACTCATACATTCCCACTGTAATTGTCTATGACATATTAAAACCTATCACAGGCTCAAAAGAATTATTTACTGGTACTTTTGGGATGAGTGCACTCTTAAATATTACTGCTGTATGTGTTTCAGCAACAACCAAGACACATTAATGAGATGGTTTATAATGTCCTAAGCTAAGTTTTTCTCATCGAGATGCAACATTTATTCCAGCTCAGGAAAGTTACAGTGTCAGGCAGCTACAGAAGTAATGCAAACCCTGTTTCAACTCTCTTCAAAACTGGTAAAGTTCTTCCAACACAGAAAATCCACTGATCTTTGTAGGGGAATGAAAAGGTATTTTCCTTTCTTGATCCTATTAATGTTTCTTTTTTTAATCTTGGAGTCAGACACCAGCATTCTGGCCAACACTCATATCTGTTAAACTCAGAAATTAACAGCAAGGAATACTTTTCCTCCCATTCTAATTTTCAGTGCTCTGAAGTATTCATGCTCTAACTCAGCATACCTGGAATTCAGGCTTACATACCCATAGAAAATTAACACATTAGGGTAAAAAGGATAACAAATTACTACTCCTGCAGTTTTCTATATTTTTAGGGGAGTGAGAAGCAAGGAAGGCTATCAGAAAGGTCAATTCAGTAAATGTTTTTAATGGGAATGGGAAGAAGACATATTCTGGTTGCTAATCTGGTTTAAACTCAGGTTTGGTGATTTGAACTAGACTGGAAGATACAGTTAGACTTTGTCATGGGAACTATATGAATGCATCTGTGTACTATTAATCATTTAGCTCATGCTGTGCTTTATAACTGCTCCAGCACAGATACAACCTCTGAGTTGTAGGCTGTTATGCTCCCTTCACAGCTGCCCAACCTCCTGGTCATACAGTACCCTGACCTCAGATGCTGCTGAACCACCAGGACATTTTATGGAAAGTTATAATTCTGTAACTATTTAATTTTGCTCCTTTGAAACTGAAGACCAAATGCTGCTGGTTTTGAGCTTCAATTATACCATGTCTATAAAAACCATGTCATAGAGCTTGAATGACTGTTGGTCAAGCCCCTTAAACTGGTGCATTTTTCCAGGTAACAGTCTCATTTTACTGTGCAGTCTCAGCAACGAACACTACTAGAAATACTGAAAGCCTGTCAGCCACCACAATAATGTCATAATGTAAATATAATCCCCATGATATTTGTGTTGTGCTAAATCTTTGTTGGAAATGCAAACCTGGAAAATGTTACATCTCAGCCAAAGGCTGTCAAGCCTTTGAAGGACTGTCTCTTCGTACGGTCTAGAGAATGAAACCTTTAGAGACAAAAAAGGTGCCACCTTGCCAGGGGAGGCCTCTCCAGAACTTTTTTTCCCTTACCATCTACAGGTGATAAAATGAGTTATCAAGCCAAGAGAACAATTGCCAAAATCACTGTTCTCGGGAACTTCAAATCACTGAACATAAAACCTGCTCTGTGTGAAAGATTTATTGTAGTAGCCAACATTTTGTCCTTTCTTCTCCCATAATCTACAAGGAAAGGAGAAAACTGCGTGCGGAGAAATAAATTTTACCGTATGGACTGAGGAGAGCAATGAGGTTGCGGGGGGGGGGGGGAGGTTTACTATTTTCCCCCCTCGCAGAGCAGCTTTACCATTTAGCCATTCTATACTGCACTTAGGCTCCCACCCACGCGTATTTCCAACCTGCAGCACAGAGCTGGAGAGGCCAGAACCTGCCGGGCACCAGGACCCCCGGCCCTCACCGACAGGCCCGCGGTCACCGGGGTGTTCCCCGGGCCCGGCATCGGCCGCTCTGCGGGGCCACAACCGCGGCCCCGGCTGGGAGTGGGCCAGGCCCGTCCGCCCCGGGGCGCCTCCCCCGCAGGCCCGAGGCAGGGACAGGCCCCGAGGCAGCGCCTCCGCCCCGGCCGGCGCCGCCACAGCTCACTCACCGCCCCGACGCCACCTCGCCGCCCGCCGACACCGCTCCCGCCGGGGCGGAGCCGGGGCCGCCCGTCCCGCCCGTCCGAGGGGCGGAGAGCGCCCGTCCTGCCCGGTGAGCCCTGCGGGACCTGAGGGCTGTCAGCCGGTCGAAGGAGGTGATTGTCCCGCTCTGGTTTTCACTGGGGCGGCCTCACCTTGGATATTGTGTGTAATTTGGGGCACCACAATGTAAGAAAGACATTAAGCCATTAGAGAGCGCCCAAAGGAGGGCCGTGGGGATGGTGAAGGTTCTGGAGGGGAAGCCTTATGGACAGCAGCTGAGGACACTTGTTCTGTTCAGCCTGGAGAAGAGGAGACTGAGGGGAGACCTCATCGCAGTGTACAACTTCCTCACGAGGGGAAGTGGAGGGGCAAGTACTGATTCCTCACCCTGGTAACCAGGAAATGGCAGGAATATGAGTCAGGGGAGGTTTAGGTTGGATATCAGGAAAACGTTTTTCACCCAAAGGGTGGCTGAGAACTGGAACAGGCTCCCCAGGGAAGTGGTCACAGCATCAAGCCTGACAGAGTTCAAGAAGAATTTGGACAATGCTCTCAGGCCCATGGTGTGATTTTTGGGGTGTCCTGCAGAGGGCCAGGAGTTGGGCTCAATGATCCTGATGGGTCCCTTCCAACTCAGCATATTCTATGATTCTATGAAACTGGGTTCACTGGTTACCTTCTTCGGGTTGTCTTTCTGGGTGGAATAAAGTGTCTAAATCATTAACAATAATCTCATACCTAAGCTGACCACTTATCAGAAAAAGAGTTCAGTTTTCCAGATTTCTTCAGGTATTCCACTAACTCACAGGATTTGCATTTTTAAGGTTTCCCTTCGCAACCAGGGCAGAGACTTACTCTCTTTGTAAATGGAAAAGTTCCCTTTAATCAGGACCCCAACATCACTAAATTATTCAGTTAGAAATACATATATATATTTAAAATATTTCTGCAGCCTACATTTCCTTTATTTATAAATCTTTACAAAGATTTATAAATCTGATTTGCCTGAATATCAACATCACTCTACAGAAATTTAAGAGAAAGATTGTACAACTCCAATTGACTTTGTATGCTAAGTCACACTGTGACTCTGCAGAGCTGAAGAACCCACCAATCAAATTCTACAAGGGTCTGGCATGACATTATGTGTCAAATGCATTTCTTGTTCAAAAACATTCAGTAGTACAGATAAAGATTTTTGAAAGAACTGTACAAGCCAATGAGAAAATGTTTTCCATAGCAAGTCTTCACTGGTTTTTTAATGTGGATACTAGGAAGAGGTCTGATGTGTCAGTAATAATCACAAAGAGGAGTAGCAGGCATAGTGCAGATATCAAACGTGATAGATACACTACTTGCATATCACTGTATGTATTGTGTTGTTCATATAATCACTGTGTATATTCATAGAAAATGAAAGTGGGAGCTGACTGAAGAGAAACAGTTTCATAGACCAGACTAGAACACCTCTACTCTGACAAAGCCAAAACAAACTGGCAAAATTAAGAAATGAGTCCCAGAAATTATTTTAGATCCTAAATAAGACACACAAAGAACCTAACAATTTATTCTTTTTTTCTGTCATGCTTTTTGAGAATTCTCATGGTGTCAAACACGGTGCTCATGCTGGCAGAGAAGACCTTTGCATGCATGCACTGGAGGGCAGCAGATCCCGACCTGGGCTGTATCATGAGGTGCTTTCCAAAGTGGTATTATACAAGTCGTAAAAATAAAACCTTACACATGGCAGTTCCAAAAGACACATTACCTTTTTATATCGATTTAGGGCCCCAAAGATTTTTTTTGTCAAAAGGAGAAGACATATAATTACTGATGGGACATATAAGTCTTTGTCACAGACTTGTTTACCAAGAAGAAATAGACAAAAGCCTATTTTTCTGATCACAAAAGCAACTGGACAGCAGATGAGAGAGTCTCTTTGCTCACAATTCCTCTTCTTAGTCTCTTTCTCAATTCCTTTTCTCCCCCAGAACTGCTATGCCTTTCAAGTCCTGCTTTTCAAGCAAAAGCCCAGAAAGACATGCTGATGTCTGCAGCAGTTCAGTGTCCAGTCGTGTACTCATGCTTGCAGTAGATGAGAGAGGACACCCACACACCTCTTAGTCATGGATAACTTGGAGTCTCTCAGTGGGAGGGACCATCCTTACCCCCAGCCCATATTGCCACGCTGCCACTTCACAGTCTGCTGTATTGTGGCTGCAAGCCCTGTTCAAGAAATAGAGTCATAATTTTGTCTTTTGCAAATCTTTATTAAAGAGATGTTCTAAGAAATTAGTGAGCCATCTTCAACAGAATCTGTTGTAACACAGATGAAGAAATACAGCACAAATATCTTGCAGGCCTAACTTTGTTCCTAAAGGCTGAGTCCAGCCAGTATCTTGATCGGGGAAGAGGATGTGGCTATCTGACTGCTCCCTCACCATGTGATTAACACTGGATTGCACAGGGAGAGTCTGAGAAGCTGGAAATACTTCAGTGAGAACTTCCTATATTACTCACAGTATGGAGCATTAAACAAATGCATAAGACTTTTCAGTCATTTGGGGTGAGCCGTATGACTCATGTCTAACTACATTTTTTTATGATTAAACATTCCAAATATGTGCCAAGGAACTCCCCATAACAGGCTGTGCTGTAAGCATTTATTTTGAATCTCATTCAAAAATAATGAGTTTTTTCTTTTTTTGTCTGCTAGGCTGCACTGTAACAATTTGCTTATCAGATAATAGCTACTGTATATGCTTGGCACTATTTTAAAAAAGACATCATAGCAAATTAATGTGATACTGGAGTTCAGATTATACTAGTTTTATTGCCTCTAAAGATCTAATCTTAGCGGGTGCTGAGAGCACTCCAATTTTAAATGACCTCATACATTTTGTATATCTCAAAGAAAATGGAATATAACTGCAGAGTGAAGCAGGTATTGGATAACTCTAGCATTTTTTAGCAATACTCATAAACATATTAATATTCATTTATTTGGATATTGTTCAAACTGCCAATGGTGATTTTAAGTTGCATCTATGTATCTTTGACTTTATAAAATTATACATTTTTATGTTGTGAAGGTTTGTGGACAAAATTAGCTTTTTTTCCCCTGTGGAATCAAGCCATTAATAACGAAATAGGGTATGACAATGGAAGTATTTTCTGGCAGATTCCAGAGATGCCTTCCTTGTATTTGAATTTGGGTAGGGATATTTTGGTATAACAGAGCTTTGTCTTATTTTTCCATGTTCTCTAGAAAACTGAAGGCAAGGTTCTGCTTGAGATGTATCAGAGATATTTCTTATTATGGGTTATTCAAGTTACCAGAAAGTGATTCTGTGACATTTTTTCTGGCAGGGGCTACAAATAATACAGAAATGATGTTTACA